CCTTGCACATCTGTCTTGCTGAACTTCGTAAATCCCAGACTCAAACTCTCTGGTTCACATGTCGACACAAACTCCACACACGAGCTAACCGGAAGTGCAGGCATTGTGGTCTCGATGAGGTCTTTGATTCGTTCTTCTACATTTTTCTTGTTTTGCATTATGTCTGAACTTGAGCTTCTTTCAACCAGGTTGTTACTGAACTCAAATGCTTGGTCAAGTTGCTTTTCGAAAGAGACAACCGATGCTTTTCCAGAATGTAATTTCTCAATCCTTGACACGCGAGTCTTCTCTAGGGCAGTAATGGCTTCACGTTGTAGTTGGCGAAGCTTTCCCATCATCTGTTCGGTTGCTTGGGAAACTTGGCGTTTAGCTGTGGTAATGTTCGTTTCCAACTCATGTTCCGTGTTCTCAAATTCACGAATAACGCCTCGGCAGACCTCCTTCATCTCTTTGACCAGCTTTGCTCTGGCAATGATGTTTGCTTTTTCATCGTCCGCTGCCTTTTCAAGCGGAACAACATCGTGGCTCTTGTGATCAGTGGCGATGCAAATCTGACACACGCAGCTTTGACAGCCCACACAGAAAAACTTTGTTACTTCTTTCTCGTGATACTTAACGGAGCAAAATGACTGCCGTTTCAACAACGCCTCGTAGTCTGTGGCTTGAAACTGTCGCACTGGTGTGACTTTGTGTCCTTGAAACAAAGTTTCTCGAAACACTTCGTGTGCTTTCACACAGTCTGGGCACATAAACTTCTCGCAATCAAAGCAGTAGTTGATCTCAGCGCTCTTCTTCTGGCATGTACTACAGCTGATTTCATTTCCCTCGCCGCTGCGTCGAACGGCGAGAAGACTCAACAAACTGTTGTGCAGAAAACTGCTCGGCAGATTATCAAAACGCTTTCCTTCAGGGATGCCAATTTGTGCCTGACACTCGGGGCATCGATAAAACCCTTGTTTTTGGCTCGTTAGTGCATGTCTCTCCAGGCATTCACAGCAGAACGTATGAAGACAAGCAATGGTCTTCGGTTTGGTGTAAGTATCCAAACAAATCGAGCATGTTACATGCTCCTTGAGGTTTTTTAGAAGCGACTCCATCACGAATTGCTGAGTAAAACAAAGCCCTATTTTGTTTGAGATTCCGAGAAACTGAACTTGGATTAGCATTCTATCTAAAGCAGCGAAGCAGATCTCTGTAGGATCGCGTGATTGACAGTTTTGAATTACAATTTTATTCACCTATTGTTTACTTTCTCTCTCACTGCGTAGTAAAATCGATTTCATAGCGTGACCGAATGTGTCGTTCTAGCCACTGTATCACGAAATACACTACGCTGGGAACGTTTGTTCATGTACCATCAACCTCATTTTATCATAGCTACATTTACCGCAGTTTAGTGAGTTTGGGATTCCGAGAAACTTTTTTGATTCCACACGAAAATTATCAGAGAGGTTTTGTGGAAGCGTCTCCATCACGAATTGCAGAGAGAAACACACCCTGTGTGAAATCTCAAACAAAACAGTGTTTTGTTTGAGATTTCAAGAAACTAAATTCTATTTAAAGCAGCGAGTTAGATCTCTTAAGAATCATGTGAGCTTCTCGCAGAGATTGACAGTTTTGCATTTCAATTTTATTCACCAACTGTCTACTTTCTCTATCACTGCGTAATTATATCGATTTCAGAGCGTGACCGAATGTGTCGCTCTAGCCATTGTATCACGAAAAGAACACGCTGCGAACGTTTGAAATTATACCATCCACCTCATTTTATCATGGCTATATTTATCGCCGTTTAGTGAGTTGAGATTCCAAGAAACTTGTTTGACACAGTTTTTTATTAAAAAGCAGCGAATCGGATCTCTTTGGTAGAAATCTCGTGCTCTCCCGAGCGGTATTTGATAGCTTCAGTTTTTTATTTCGATGTTTCTTAACTTTTTGAAAGGGAGCGCGAGAGAGTAACACTAAGCAGATGTGCAGTCACGATTAGAAATTCCGTGACATTGACGGAAAGGTCACTAAAATCTGATTTCTTATGAGAAGGGAGACTAGCTCTCTAAAGGTTATAACTTATTTTGATTCGTTTGCGTGTCGCATTTGGTGCGGATCATGGATTAGGATCAACGTCAGAGAAACAACGAACCTACCCCTCCCTTCACCCCAAAACAGTCAACCTATAATAAGTCCGGGTTAATGTTGAGTTAGGGGAGGGGTAGGTACACAGATACTCGGAAAGCCAACCACTTTTTGCAGAAATAGTGTTAACTAAATGTAGGTGAAAGTTAAAAAAAAAAACGCTCGGCTGCAGTTCTTCTCTGCCACACTATTTTCATTTTATTCTTGTGACCATGCAACTTTCAAACATCAGTCTTCCGGTTCAACACATGCGAACAGAACGGGGGAAGGGAGGGGGGATGATGAGTGAAAAAAAGAGACTCAGTTGAAAGTAGATGGAGGAGTCACCTTCTTAGATAAGTTCTTCTCTTTTCAAGCGCTCGGTGACAGCCTAACAGAGGGTGAAGCTGATGTGGTCTCGCCTTCGGTCCAAGGCTGTTTGAATACAGTGTATGCATCAAATAGGAGATTTTGACCCCTAATGCTGTTGTTAATCGGCATTTAAAAGTTTGAAAAAGATAATACGTAACAATCTAGATAAGCCCTTTCTACATAGAAGGCAGGTTTGTTACAATAAGCCGGTAACAGGCATAGAAGCATGACAATGGTGGAAATAAAACTTTTTAGTGCGGCCTTCTTTGTATCACAGTCCAGTTACTCTAAATGTCAGTGGTATCTTCCCTGAGGACTAGGGCCAGTCTCTGCCGAGGTTTTGCCATTCGACACAACGTTAAACCTCGGCGCACGTGTGTTTTCATCGCTTGTTATTCTCGCCTTTATTTTTCGGATGAGGATCGTTTAACTAGACTCACATCGAAGAAATAGAACATTACGAAATCATTACGGATATTGTACCACTTTTCAAGGTTACGGAAAAGGACACTTCTTTGTTTGAAAGGATTTCTCATACAGTATTGTATTCAAACAGTGTGCTGAGCGTATTTGTTCGGATCGAATAAAACGTGGAATTGACACTGAATTGACGGCTGTTACACAAAATCTTTTTGACAACCCTGAGAAGCCATTACTTGGCCGTGGATCTATAGTTACTGACTACGTATTTAAACCAAAAACAATTTTAAAACATATAAGAACATTGAATACAGAGAACACCAGAAAATAAAATCAGCTCACAAAAAAGCTACTTCAACCTCCGACTAAATGTAAACCAAGTTCTCATTCCAAACATACAGCAAAGGTAGGTATAAATAGTTTATTAATCTACTTGTAGTTCTGGTATTGCCTTAGTAACTTTATATGATATGTACATGCACACAGATATACAACACTGTATTCTCAAAAAGCGAATTTCAATCGAGTGTCCAAATCCAAATTGATCACAACTGGATCACCAAATCCAAATTGATCACAACTGCCAATCGTCGAGCACTTTTCAATTGAGTATCGAAAAACCAAATCCAGTTGTGATGACAACTGCCAATCAGAAAAAAGGTTACCATGATTATTAGCCAATGAGAACACAGAGTAGAAACAGGCAACCTCCTTAAAGCGCGGGAAAACGCGAGTGACCAAGTCGTGTTTGGTTTTAGTTTTACATTTGATTGGTTGAGATTGTGACACGAGTTTTCTGGACCAATCACACAACGAAGTGAAGCAAAACCAAAGCAATCCAGCATCACTTTTGATACTCAGTTGGAAACTGCTCTAATAAAGGAAATATAATAAAATGCCAAAGATAACTCAAAGAAAAAAACTGGCAAAGAGCCTGACGCGTTGGAAATATACGAATGGCCCTACTCCACACTCGATCTTGATAAGGCTCGTACCTGATTGGTCAAGAGGGTGGCATAGGCTTTCTAAACCAATAACATACTAAAGTCAAGCTAAACCAATGCCCATGACTATATCCATGACTACTTTCGACACTCAATTGAAAATTTCTTTCATAGTTTACAATATTACCATACAAAGACTAGTCTTAAAAGAATTCTGAACATGTCTAGTGATTAAGTCTCGCCACCAAGGAACGATCTCGCCACCAACGTACTTGTTAGCGTCTGATCTCGCCACCAGTTACCAATAAAGAGATCAGTCGAGGAGAGTAGGATGTTCGGCTGATAAGTTTGTTCGCTTGTCTGTACTCAAACTCGTATAAACGTATGTTGTTCAAAAAAGCACGTCTCAACAAAACCGATAAGTTTGTTCGCTTGTCTGTAAAAAAAACTTTGTAAATGTATGTTGTCGATAGCACGTTCGAAACCGAAGTAAGTTTTTATTCCTCGCATCGAGTTTTGCAATTTCTCCTCGCTTACGTGCAAAAGACAAACACGATACGTTTTGATGTCAATGAGTTAGGAACGGAACACATCTAACACGTCGCTGAAGGTCATAATTTAAATACAGACAAGCGCACAAACGTATCGGCCGATTTGAATTGTGCTCGTTCGAACATCCTACTCTCCTCGACTACTTTATTCTAGTTTATCTCTTTATTGGTGGTTGGTGGCGAGAAGACTTCGCTTGGTGGCGAGTACGTCGGTGGCGAGATCGTTCCTTGGTGGCGAGTTCGCTGGTGGCGAGTCTCCCTGGTGGCGAGGTAACCGGTAACCCCATACAAAGACTAGTCTTAAAAGAATTCTGAAAATATCTAGTGATTAAGAGGGTCTTAATGGGGATAACCGTTAGCCGTAAAACGGCCAAAAAATTTAGCCGTTAGGCGTAAAAATTGACAAATTTTAACCGTTAGTCGTAAAAAAAGTTTACCGCAAACAACATGTCTGGTGGAAACAATGGAAAGGTGGTAACCGTTAGCCGTAAATTGGCCAAAATTTTAACCGTTAGCCGTAAAGGCCATCACCCCATTGAGACCCTCGATTAAGTCTCTATATACTGACGCCGCATCGCGCTACTCATTAGGTCTGATCTGTAGAGTTATTTTCTGTTGATTACCCAGGCATTTTCGTAATTTATTCTCAGTCATCGTCAGCATTTGTTCCAAAATTGAAACTGTCTGCAACAAAAGGCGGCGCAATGAATATCAGAGTATCTCCCTTACTCTAAAAAACATTTTTCGCTTCAGCATAAGCTAATACATCTCCGTGTTGCATGAAATCTTTGCCTCGTCTCTGTACAATAAAAACCTCATATTAGACTGTTCGTGACCTTTTTCCCGACGAGGGCCACGGACTTGGTCACCAGTCGCTGTTTCAGAAATGAGCTCCATCTTGCGATCAGGTATTCCTTTTCCCAGGGGGAGGGGGGAGAGAGAAAGAGCAACTGTGGTGCTTCCATACCAAGTACTCAGTTCATGAGCATAGTGAAAAGTATCCTATAATATCAGTAATTCATTCAATCAATTTATATTTCATACTATTTAAAGGAACTTGCTCATGAAAACTCCTGCATGCATGGAATACCTAAATAGCAATTGCAACTTGATGCAATCAAAACACTCCTCAGTCAATAGACGGTTTCTAAATACATCTCAAATGCAATTCCTGCAAAAGGAAATAAGGTAGGTAGATGCTATGCTTTTATCTCCTTAAACAGAAACTAATAAAAGCGGTGCATTCAGGGAAATTAATTTTGGGAAAGTAAAAAACACTGAAAAATCTTACTATGGTGACAATCGTTATTTATCAATGGGGTTGGATATAGAGGGGGGGGGGGGGGAATCAGCTGTCGTGGAGGCACACCAACAACTGACAGTCTTAAATGCAACCATTGCAGTAGACTGTGCTGCTCACATGCTGAACTTGCAGTGCATCAATGCCTCTAAAGCACTTAACTGTTTCTCAGTCAACATCACCTGCAATGGACTGCCGATGATGATTAAAGTGGACTATAGTAAATTGACTGCTAATGAGAAGAGGGATAAAAAAATATCGCTCTCATCTTGATCACTCTCATTTTCTTGCCCCTCAGCCAGTTTGTTTGTTTTCACTGTCAGTTCTTATCACCTGCTCGTGTTATTTTCTTTTCATCTGGTTGGTCTATGAGATTTTTTAGGTTTTGGTTTTACACCCCCTCCCCCCTTCCCAGATGGGATGTCAGTCCATTGCAGGTTACCCCCCAGCATTTCATCAGGTTTCCTTGACAGCAGTATCCATATATAATCCTGGGTGGAGAGAACCCTGTGAAAGTAGAGTGTCTCACCCAAGAACACAACACAGCAACATGTCCAAGTCTTGAACTCAGAGCTCTAGACATTTACCCCTCACTCCCTAACATTAGCATACATATTCTCCCTACTGTTCTCTAAACATTTCCTTAGGTGCTGACAAGGAGAATTTGATTAACAATCAAGAGGGTTTTTTAGTTTGTGATCATTTCCTACTATCTTTCATGACCTTAATGTTTGATTCGGGGGTGATATTGAAAGGAGAAATTAGATGCTAGTCACTCTTAAGAGAACAGGTTAAGCTGCCATCTCATATTTAATCTTCTTATTTAATCTTATAATTTCCTATTTGATGAATTCACAGCTTGTCCAGACTTACCTTGGGAGCAGCCTCTTCGGGTGCAGTCCTTGGAGGGGGTCATGAGTATGGGGTGTGGGTACAGATGGGGATGCTGCTCTTTTTCTGTGGGAGTCAGTAGCACTGAAAGCATCACAAAAAGCTATTTAACACACTACCAGTCACATGTAGGAGGCTTAAGCAGCTAAAAAATTAAAAACAAACAAACAAGAACAATCTTGAAGACAAAAATATCTGATATGTTTCAGAGAATTGACAAAAAAAATATTACATGCAATTTTCTATAAACAAAAGTGAAATGACATGAAAAAGCAATACTGGTAAATTTGATTTTGCTTTTTTAATCTTTTGTACACAGCAGTTCACAAAGAATCTTACACATGCAAACATCACTTGTCAGAAAATATCACACAGGTGAATAGTGCTTTTCATGTGTACTGATTCCTTTGTTCAGAAGAGATCAGCAAGTAATATTCACTGCCAAGCAGGTGAAGAGACAAAATTAATTTCAACCATTTTTCGTTATATTGACAGAAATGAACTAATTTTTTTTGGTTTCTGTATGGTATATATCAAAACAATTATTCACCAAAGTGTTGGTGAATATTGGTGGATATTAACTGAGCCACAAAATGGCAAGGTAAATATCCACCATTGTTCACCTCCACTGAGGTGAAATACAATTGTTAATTATTTGTTTTAATTATGTTAGAAAGACAAGAAAAATGTTATAGGAATGATATGTTCAGTTCATAAGAATTTGTTTATTAAAAGATCAAATACAAAACTTAACTGCAACAACAAAAGTGGAAGGTTTTTTTTCAAATCACTGCTCACCTGAATTTTCAGCTGCCTTTCTTCAAGTTCCTCTGGAGAAAGAACTTCTTCTGCTACTTTGTTTATTGTATTGTCTAGCACCTGGAAGGTCAAACAGAAAGCTTAGCACTTACTCATTATCATTACAATTAAATTCTTGTCTCTGATATGCAAAATACAGGACATGTCACAGAAATGAAAAAAAAAATTGTTTACATGTGAATAAGAATTGAGTCATTGAGTAAGTTTATAGAGCAGTTCACTGATAAGAGCACAAAAATATGCATGTTAAACTTGTAGAGAATGCATCTAGACCTGACACAGACTGGTCTTGACAGACAAGCAAATACATCTCAAGTACAGTGTTTAAAATCCACCCCTATTCTAGGATGTCACAATCTGTCAAAACATGACCCTTAAATAATGTGAGAAAGTCTTATAGAATACAATTCACCTTAACTTTCACTAACTGCGCAAGCAAAATTGAAGTGGAGAGAAAAAAAAAAGCCTTAAATGACTTGTGATGAACTAAAAGAGTTTCCTTCCACATTGTTCTGTATCACCTCACAAAAAGAAAAAAAAAGAAGTTGGTGTTCCATAAAAAATAACCTTAAGGCTCTTTTCTAATCACCCCTCCAACTGATAACCCTTAGAACCCTAAGAGTAACAAGCATCTAATTTCTCCTTACAATATCACCCCTGAATCACACATTAAGGTCATGAAAATACAGGAAATAATCACTGACTAAAGAAGCCCTTGATTGTTCAACAATTTCTCCTTGTCAGCACTTTAGGAAATGTAGAGCAAACAGTATGGAGAATATGCATACTGATGTTAGGGTGTAAAGGATTCACTCACCTTCACTGGTACAGCAGACTTGAGTTGAGCCTTTGCTCGACAGTCTTTTGAATGACTAAGTAGAAACAAGAAAAATAATAATGGGGATTGTTTCCTTTATTCTTGCTACTTTAATGTGTGATTTAAGGGTGATATTGTAAGGAGAAATTAGATGCTAATCACCCTTAGGGGTTAAAAAGGTTACAGGTAAAGATGAATTTAGAACTAAAAAAATGCTCTGTGATATGTCTTACCAAAGCCAGTCCCTGATACAACCAAAACAGAAAGTGTGTGAGCAAGGCAAAGTGTGTGCCAATACCATCAGTTCACGACAGATACAGCAAAGTAGCTCCTCATTTAAATCTTTCAAGCACTTCTTTGATCTGCTGTCATCTACTAAATGAAATAAAAATTTAACATGAGCCCTGGCTATGTAACCTCTGATGCAATTGATAATAACTTTCTCCCAGACTTTTGTTAGAGGAAAACTTGCAATTTTGATGGAGAATATACAAAGTCATGTAGCATTAAATCGAAAGTGAGAGGAGTATAACTGGGTACCGGATAATTTTCAGGGAAGCCTGATGAAATGCTGGGGGGGGGGGGGGGGTAACCTTGTGATGAGCTGATATCCCATCTAGGGGGGGAGTGGTGAAACTCCTAGTTGCTTCATGCTAAGGAAGCCAGAATAATCTCCCACTAGTTGGGTCACTTTGCTTGCAAACAGACTTTATTTACTCTTTTTTTTATCAAAAGTGGCATTAAGGGCTTTTTTCTTCACATCCCTACAATAGACAGATGCCTTCAGTGGAGAGTTGCATCCTACATTTGTAACATTACATAAGATAAAGTTCAGTTTAATTCACTTCTTGGAGTTAAATGTACCTTCACTGATGTTTACTTCTTCCTGTGGATCAGCTTTTTGATCAACTTCAAAAACCTGGGATTGGAAAATAATATTAATGGTTTTGATACATGCCACAGAACACAGTGTACTACACTGAATGATACCCTGAGAAATTGATTATCCTGATAAAATGTAAAATTCATCTCTTTTAACTCTTGGATTTTCAGAAGTGATTAAGTCTGTAACTTAATAATGTCCATATGCTACCCGGTAAATATTAGAATACATGGTACTAAAACTTATCTATAGAAGCTGCTTTCTTGATCTGATTATTTAAACAAAGTTTAGCCATTATTTCACAAGACCTCATCCTAAATAATCTTCAATTTAGCTGGAACTTTCATCTGAGCATTTGTTTTTGTGAACATTGTCAAGAGGGCCAAAAGCTGACAGTAGATGGAGATGACAATTTAATAAAATCAACAACCCTGTTATAGAGAAAGCCTTGGATCCACTGAATGTGTAAAACCATGGTTTGGGTTAGATCTCTGAAAATAACCTGTCCTTAGGGTCATAACCCTATAAATTTAATTTCAGTGGTAAAGATATAAGGTAAATTTGTTTTCTCTTTGCCTTTTCTTTAAAAATGATATAAAAAAAGTAATTTGCCACTTGATAATCATTAAATCAGAAGCCCAAGTTTATCTACCTGCTTATCGTCCATGCTGCCTTTAGTCTTCTTTTCACATGGAGAGCTGAAAATTACAAAAATATTAGAAGTTTGACAGGCCTATCAGCATTCAATAGGAAGTTCAGATTAGGTCTTGACACTTGGTCTTATTTTTAGCAGACTGGAACTTGATTTTAGGAACACATACAACAAAATGGTTATGTTAAGGAGGTGTAATGAGTGGGAACCTGTTTCGGGAGATCCTGGTAACTTAAGAGGCCTGTACAGCTGTCTGTTTTCATTCAAGATGAGGGTTTCAGAAGTTATGAAATTATACAATACAACTATCAACAAAATATTAAAAATGAACTGGTTAGGGTTGTTAGAATCTGCTTCTCTATTGGCTTTAAATATTGACTTTAAAATATGGTTTGGGGCCTGTTAAGTTACTGGGACAGTAATTCAAGAAACAGGCCCCCCAACTTAAGATATGAAGATGCCCCTACACCTTTGGGGAAAATGTATATTTGACCCTTGGAAGAAAGATGATAGTCTTCATGCAAAATCACAAAATAATAAAAAACTGGGGTATGATCTTGATCCCGCTTAAGAGTTACAGACAAAATAGTATCTGCTAAGGAAGCGAAAGAGGCAAGAGGTTGTTGTAATTTCTATGATCTCAACCCACACCACCCCCTTGAAATTTTTTTCCAGAGTATTTATTTCTCTGTCTAGTACCCTACACTCCTTTTCTGGGTCAAGTGACCCTACTCTCCATCATTACTACCCCTACTTCTGAGTGTTATGTACCCATACCTCACTCCTTCACTTAGTGATGCGGGCTTTTTCCGTTTGCTTCGCCTTCGCACGCTTCCATCGCTTGTTCCTTCCCCAAGGGAGCCCACTTCTTCAGAATCATTCTGGCAGACCTCATTAAAAACATACACAAGCTCCGAATCGTAAGCTGACAAACTCTGTCCTTCTTTCGTTTTAACGCCAGCACCTCCAAAGACAACAACATCACCATCGCATAGGACAGCAGAGCTACGCTTTGTTTTGTTGACTAGCAGCCCGTTCAGTCCTTTACAATCAATTCTGAATTTTCCATTGTTGAAATGAATTTCATAATCCAGAGACTGGGGGCTAATCGTCCGTGTTGTCCGGATACCCCTCCAAAGACAACAACATCACCATCGCATAGGACAGCAGAGCTACGCTTTGTTTTGTTGACTAGCAGCCCGTTCAGTCCTTTACAATCAATTCTGAATTTTCCATTGTTGAAATGAATTTCAGCGTGAACACGACTGATCATTAAAGGAGATATCACACTGTCAATAACAACATCTGAATATTCATTACTGCGTCCGAGACGAGTGACAGTCGGTTTTAGCAAAATTTTTTCTGGTTGTAGAGATGGATCATAGCAATTCCCTTCGACCCTCTGCAGACGGAGCATTTTTCTCCTCTGTTTCAGTGTGCAAAAGCCTCTCATACCACTTCAAGATTCTTCTTGACTGTGTTCTTGAAGTACTCTCCAAGCGGCCATTTTAACAGTACGACACGATATTCGGAAATCGTTCGGACAAGATCGGACAAGCTCGGGTGTAACTTCTCGTTAGCAAAATCAGGAATAGGGAAAAGGATAACGGATATGAGGAATGAATGTGAAAGTGATGTTTTGTTTTCTCGCGGATCTCTGTCACGCTCACATCGCTCGTAGGCTCGAAACACGCGAACTGTGTTGATCAGCATGCAAAGTTTTGTACTTTTAATTGAATTTAGATGTTTCCGAACCCAGTCTGTTCGGACAGTGTATGCACAAAATAGGGAATTTTTCCCCTTGATGCTGTCGTTGTGTGGCATCGTGAAAGTTTGAATATACAGCAAAGGTCGGTAATAATAGTTAATTAATTAATTAATCTGATTGCGATTCTTATATTAGCATAGTAACTTTATATGATATGTACACACAGATATAAAACACTGTATTCTTAAACTGGGTACCCAAAAGCCGTGCCCCCGTTTCAAAGACTCGTGTCTTGTTGAAGGGAGGATGTTTTAAAATGGATATTGATCCGTGGTTGATATGTGTAAACTTTTCATTGGACCAAACTCTTTTGCTTCTTTCCCCCTGACATGGGTCCCTCTTCAACCCCTGGTATTCTCCTCAATGTGTGTTAGCATGATGGGGTCATTAACAGGAGTGCATCCCACCCCACCCCCAAGGCGCTTGGTTTCTAAAATACTTCCCTGTTCAGAAATGTTTGCACACCAAACGTGTTAGCACATCCAGCTAGCCCACAATGAGCTCCAGTGTCATGCTCAGTTGTGGAGGAATATCTCTTCTTTCCAGGGGTGTGGTGAGGGGAGGCTGTGTAACTGGAATGCCTCCCAAACCATCAGTTTCCCCAGTCCTCCCTGTTACTTCATCTAATTTGCTCTGTCTCTGAAGAATGAAAATTTGCAAGACAACATCTTGGTTAACTTTGCTCTTCAACTAAACTAAGTAAGGTGGAAGGATTTCTCGTGAACTTCAACTCTTAGCTTTCATTTGATGCTATCTGGCAAAGTCAAATAATAATTCTCAATAGCCCACTTCATCCAATGGAGAGTTTTAAGTACAACAAAAAAGATCATTTACTTATTATTCACAGTATTGCACAGTAACACACTTTTGCAAATCAAACAAGTAAATTTAGTCACAATGCATTCAGTAAGATATTTGTTTAACAGTGGTCAACGCTATACAAACCTATAGGATAAGCACTGTTGAACAGTTCATGAATATGGTGAAAAATATCCTATAATATCAGTAATTCATTCCATCAATTTACATTTTTATAATACTTAAAGGAACTTATTCTTAAAAATCCTCCATGTACAAAAAACCTAAATAGAAATGCTACCTTGATGCATTCAAAACACTTCTCAGTCTTAAGATGATTTCTAATCACATTTTAAATGTAATTCCTCCAAAAGCAATTAATTACTACGAAATTGTCAAATTGTTTACAGCTTAATCATGCAAGCCACTGTCCATGAGTGGTCATTAAAGAATTGGATGTAAAAGCATGCTCCATCTGACAAGTCAATTAATATTATTGAGCACAACTATCAGTCTCCCAAAATATGCTCACGGAAGAGTCTACTTAAGCATGCTGAAAATATATAAAGTTAATAAGTAAAAATTATCAGCAACAACTAACACTACTCAGTACCATTGTACAATTACTTTGCAGAAATGTATTTTTTGCCTTTCAAATATTCCTATTTCTTTAAGCGGTTATAAAGCTTAATCTCATTTGAAATTGATTTCATGGTTAATCAAAAAACTAAATTCTTGCACGTGATTGGTTATCACCAGTCCGATTTGAACACCAATAGGACTGTGTATGCATTGTGCTTGCAACTTGAATTGGACAATTGAATAGAACAGTTGACATGTCATACCAATGTAAGTAAACAGTTCCCATCATATGCACGCATTGTTGTTCCACAACCCTACAAGTAAACTGTTGATTTTTCATATTATCAAAAGTGGGGCAAAATTACTGAATTCTGACTGGCTAAAACAGAATGCATCTTTTCTTAAATCATTTGATGCTGATTGAGTCTTTTTGCTGTTGGCGGCAACCAGTTATTGATGGCAATTTAACTGAATGAAGCTGCGTGATGTTGGTAACTGTACTTTGAGAATAAAATGTTCATTGAATCTATTGGTTGGTTACATCTGTTTTGACATTAGTAGCCGTATTGAAAGGGCTTAATCATGTAGACATTCTGCGCGAAAGCAATTCCCTCAAAAATTTTTCCCTTTATGTGATAAACAAGTAATCGCAAGCGCCCTTGAGCCAATGGGATTGGAAATACAAAACATATAAGCAATGACTGGTTACTTTCTGAACTGTTGATTGACAAATCAGACTCCAGCTTCGCAGCCGTCTGATTTGGTCAATCACTCGTATGATTATAGATCAGATTGGAATCCCCTCAATCCTATTACTATTATTAATTTATGACACAAACAATCTCATTACTGAAATGATGAATCAACAATTCTTTGAACTCTCCAAGAAAAATTAGAAGTCAGGTTGCTGATTTTCTCTCCAATTCTCTTGCGACACATGACATGTCACAATTTTCCTTAAATTAATAAAATAACAAAACTCAAAGATATTTGCTAAAGGTTTGTTTATGAAAAATTGATTGTTGCTTTCAGAAATGGACGTTCATTTCAGAATGTAAACCTCTTTCTCGTAGAAGCCTGTGACCAAAATCCGATCATCTAGCATTGGGGCAACACTCCAGTTCACTCCAAATTGAATATTAGTATTTGTCTTTCCAGTGAAAGCTCCTTCCAGTGTAAACTGTTGAATGCGAATGTTCCTTGCATCATATACCAAAACGTTGTTATGTTTGTCAACACATAAGCCATACGGCGAATTCATCTGTCCATCACCGTGTCCTTTTTCTCCAAATTTGTACAGAAATTGTCCTCTCTCATCAAACACTTTCACACAGTTATTATTCTTGTCAGTTACAAAGAACTTTTCCTCGTAACAAACGCAGTCGGTGGGATGATCCAGCCTTTCTGGACCGCTGTCTCCAAACTTAAACACAGGTTCACCATCCATTGTAAACACCTGAATTCTGCAATTATTAAAATCCGTTGCAACAATAAAACGTCCATCACTTGTGATACAAACACTTGCAGGATCCTCAAACTCTCCATCTCCACTTCCCTTTTTTCCAAAGCTTTTCACAAAGTTCCCTGTCTGTACATTCAACTGCTGTATTCGGTGATTAAATTGATCGGCCACCAGAATCTCGTCATCCTTTAGGAATGTGACGTCGACTGGATTCTTTAATTGTCCATTCTCATCTCCATAAGAACCAATTTTTCGCACAAACTTTCCTGTCTCATCAAATACCAGGATACAGTGACCTCGATAATCAGCCACAGCAATAACACCTTTACTGTTCACTGCAATACCGGCAGGACCTTGCAGCATTTCTCCCTGAACGTCCAACTTGCCTATAACATTTAACTCTCGTGCTTTGACCAGAATAGAAAATGGACTCCGGGCAAGTTTCTGTCCATTTATCTTTACTTCTATTTTATAAGTACCTGGTACTTTCGCTACAAATTTTGCTTGGAAATTTCCATCTTCTTTTTCACTCTTCACCAAACTCCTCACCTGATCCGCAGGGTCTATGTGTATTTCAACACGATCTGTGTGCTGAGTGTTTCTGATTTCTCCTTCGCTTGATTTGAGACAAATTAGTAGCTCTGCCTCTACACCAGCTTGGAAATTCTGATCCAGTCCTTCCACGGTCGATCCTTGCACATCTGTCTTGCTGAACTTCGTAAATCCCAGACTCAAACTCTCTGGTTCACATGTCGACACAAACTCCACACACGAGCTAACCGGAAGTGCAGGCATTGTGGTCTCGATGAGGTCTTTGATTCGTTCTTCTACATTTTTCTTGTTTTGCATTATGTCTGAACTTGAGCTTCTTTCAACCAGGTTGTTACTGAACTCAAATGCTTGGTCAAGTTGCTTTTCCAAAGAGACAACCGATGCTTTTCCAGAATGTAATTTCTCAATCCTTGACACGCGAGTCTTCTCTAGGGCAGTAATGGCTTCACGTTGTAGTTGGCGAAGCTTTCCCATCATCTGTTCGGTTGCTTGGGAAACTTGGCGTTTAGCTGTGGTAATGTTCGTTTCCAACTCATGTTCCGTTTTCTCATATTCACGAATAACGCCTCGGCAGACCTCCTTCATCTCTTTGACCAGCTTTGCTCTGGCAATGATGTTTGCTTTTTCATCGTCCGCTGCCTTTTCAAGCGGAACAACATCGTGGCTCTTGTGATCAATGGCGATGCAAACCTGACACACGCAGCTTTGACAGCCCACACAAAAAAACTTTGTCACTTCTTTCTCGTGATACTTAACGGAGCAAAACGACTGCCGTTTCAACAACGCCTCGTAGTCTGTAGCTTGAAACTGTTGCACTGGTGTGACTTTGTGTCCTTGAAACAAAGTTTCTCGAAACACTTCGTGTGCTTTCACACAGTCTGGGCACATAAACTTCTCGCAATCAAAGCAGTAGTTGATCTCAGCGCTCTTCTTCTGGCATGTACTACAGCTGATTTCATCTCCCTCGCCGCTGCGTCGAACGGCGAGAAGACTTAACAAACTGTTGTGCAGAAAACTGCTTGGTAGATTATCAAAACGCTTTCCTTCAGGGATGCCAATTTGTGCCTGACACTCGGGGCATCGATAAAACCCTTGTTTTTGGCTCGTTAGTGCATGTCTTTCCAGGCATTCACAGCAGAACGTATGAAGACAAGCAATGGTCTTCGGTTTAGTGTAAGTATCCAAACAAATCGAACATGTTACATGCTCTTTGAGGTTTTTTAGAAGCGACTCCATCACGAATTGCTGAGAAAAATACAGCCCTGTTTTGTTTGAGATTCCGAGAAACTGAACTTGGATTAGTATTTTATTTAAAGCAGCGAATCAGATCTCTGTAGGATCGCGTGATCTTCGCGCAGAGATTGACAGTTTTACATTGCAATTTTATCCACCTATTGTGAACTTTCTCTGTGACTGCGTAGTAAAATCGATTTCATAGCGTGACCGAATATGTCGCAGTAGCCACTGTATCATGAAAAACAACATGCTACGATGGTTTGGAAATAAACCATCAACCTCATTTTATCGTCCCTACATTTACCGGCGTTTAGTGAGTTTGGGATTCCGAGAAACTTGTTTGACACCACACAAGTAATAGGTAGTATTCTATTAAAAGCAGCGAATTGGCTCTCTTCAGAAGAGATCTCATCTTCTCCAGAGCGC